TAAGAACTGTCTCAACGGATGCAAGGTGGTTAGAAGAGTAAAAGATCTGGGTGTGCACTCTCTAACCAATATGAGTGAAGCTTCCTGATCTTAAAAGTCAAAGATAAATAACAAGTTCAAACAACGCTTTCATTTTAAGATCACACCTGAGCTTGTTCAAAAATTCAATCACATCCACAAACCTCATGGAGCTCATCATGGAGCTGAGACATGACTTAATGTGAACACCAACAGACACCTACCTCCAACTAAACCTGAAAGTGTAGGCAGACTGTATCACAATGACTGATGCCTCCATCATCTCAGTGTTCTCCCAAACATTAGCACTTCCACAACTTTGTCATTATCACACACAGGACATGTGAAATTCATTATGTGCTACAGATTTTCTCCCTCAGCATACCTCATCTAATTATTAACCAAGGCCGCAGCCAACCAGATATTCAGTTTGACCATTTCCAGCCACTCTCACGCTAGGTTTCAAATGTGGGTGCTGCTTTAAAACCAATAGTGATTTTTTTTTCTAGCTGTACAATGTGATATTTTTAAACATTCCCCCATTCCTTCAGTTCCCTGCCTCTGCATTCACATCTGCACCAGCTGATATCTTAACAGGCTGCGCTGGGTGTGGCTTAGAGCTACATACTGCTTATAGCAGTTAAAAACGGGGGGATGGGAGACAGATTAAGGTATCTTTACATCAGCACTACTCACAAAAACATACTAAGAAGCACTGTCCTGCATGTAAATGGAGTCTTTGTGTGCTCCTCCGATGTCTATGCTGATGACTGAGCCTGGTTTATTGTTATGGCGTGCAGTAAAGTCTGTTGAACTTTGAGCTTCCATCTTGGCAACCACAGGCAGAAAATAAATGTAAAAAATGTACCAATAAAAATCAACCGATACACAAGAACCTAAAATCAGTCAAATGCTGCTGCTTTATTGATGCAAATAGCAAGAAGGAATTACCTTAAGTCAGAAAAAGACAAAGTACATGTATAGTGACATTAATTCAAGTTTAAACTTACTGATCTGTGACTTGGGAACTTGAAAAAAAAATATTTTTTTCCCCCTATTGAAAATTGCTCTTTTTAAACTGGCTCTTGAATCAAACATTTAGAACAATCATCGTAAATATGTAATAGTTTCAAACTCTAAACCATCCCTTTAAATTCCTAAGCTTCAGTGGGAACTGTTAGAAAAGTGGATGTGGATGAAGTGAAGTGAAGAGCCTCAACATAAACGTGACTTTTACTGAACGCAAGCTATGTGTTAAACCATTTTCCAGTAGTGACAAAATAGTGATCAATAATGTTAACATGTTTTTCACTACATAATCTATAGAAAATACAATAGCTGACATAAGCTTTCTAATATGTAAGATTTGGTCCTGTAACTTTTCATTTTATATGAATCTCTGTCTCAATGTACTGTTTATCCTATTTACATATTAAAGTGGTGTATATTATTGCTATACAATTTTTTAAAAATCCTAATTTGAATTCTGAAACGCTGAAGCTACGATTTCTTTGTCTTTTGTATATTAAGTATAATGACAGATAGTTAATCAGTGGCACATGTTACTTACGCATACGGGCTCATGAAATGCCGCTGTTACTAAAGCATGAGTTGAGTTAAAAGAAATGAGATCAAAGCGATGCTTAGTGGATTATTTTTTGCCAAAGCAACAGCGCACTGCAGCAGTTTATAGCTGAGCATTAATGGTTGTGACTACATACCCGATCTTGGCCTTCTGCTTGGGCTTGGAGGAGGGTACAATACAAGCTTTCCTGCAGGCCTTCTCCTTGGACCGTGCCTTCCCATTTCCTTTGTGCTCATGATCACGGTGGGCTTTGTACTGCGAAGAAGAGCTGGGGAAGCTCTCTGGGCTCATAACCCTTGGGATGTTTTTCTCCCCTCTTTGCCGAGCCTTTGCAATAGCCTCTGATATTATCCTATTTGCCTTCTCCTGCTTGTCCTGTGGAGTTGAATCCATCTGATGATGCGTCCTCCGTGGAACCCTTTTCTCTGATGAGGAGCTGGATGAAGATGAAGAGGAAGATGAAGAGGATGATGACGAGGATGAGCTGCTCTTCATTGGGGGACTGAGGACCCGTATCTGGCTTCCGGGACCATTAGCGTTCTTTCGAGGCTATGGTCAAAGAGAAAAATAAACAGAAACATAGTGAGCATGGTACTGTAAAAGGTGTGTGATGTCATCTAGCCTTCGAAACAAAAAGCTGCACCTTAGAAAAATCTAGTGATGCAAAGATCTTTAAAAAGAAAAAGCTTAATAACAAAACAAATGTCCAAATACTAGCTTCAAAACGCTGACTCACAAAAAATAAATAAAAAATGCAAAACAGGAAAAAACCCCAAAAAAAAACAACAACATCAGCCTTAATTTACATAATGCATATAACAGATTACAAAGCCAATGAGGTACAATGTGGATGTACTGATACAGCCTGCAGCCATTTACAGGTTATGTATTTCTACTTATATAGGTGTGTTGTCACTAGGTTTGGTAACAAACAATTTAAAAAAAAAAAAAAAAAAGGAAAAAAAGATATTGTTCAAAACATCTTCCTGTTTTGTAACACCATAAGCATTTATTAAAAAAACAAAACAAAACAAGCCATTAATACCACTGCTTGTATTTATAGCTGCATTCAGCATGTGGATCCACTATAGTCACACAGCTCAGCTAACACAATCGAATTATTGTTTCCTTCATAGAATATCGTGGAAGCACAGTGCGATGCCATTTTACTGTACAGTAAGCAGCTGAATGTAATAAATATGAAACAAGGTCTAAAACAAGGAAGAAACTAAATGTTAAAATCCAGCCTTCTATGAATTCGCAACATACTAGGGTGCATTCGTGTGACGAATGAAAATATCACTCATTCAGAAAAACAGAACCTTCTCAAGGCTGTGTGAAGCACTCCGGCAGCAGAGCTTGTTGCTGTCCCCATCTCAAAAGCTGGGGGTGGGGGGTGGACCTGCCATGCTCTGCATGATGCTCACTTTAACTCTACTCTACTAGTAGACACTGAGCTTGATGAAAGGCCAATGTTTCCTCCAAGAATTCATTTAGATCAAGGGCAGACAACCCTCTGTCTGAACTCTGAAACCATGTGACATCAAAAGTCAACTGAAATTCTTTTGGCTCAAGTAAGCTTTTCAAACGGAGGGTTAAACACTGGTTCAATGTACCAGGTCACAGTGAGCCTCGCAGACATAAATAATCTAGCCTGCCTGATACATGATAATATGTGCATAATAGATGGCGTGACTGCGGTTATGACTACACAAGCACCCTGTGGTGGGCTTTAAGCCCAGCAGAGAGGGAACCCATAAATGGATGACCTAATCTAAAAATGTGTTGCGTATGCCTACATGGCCCAGGCGCGGCTGGTTGCTTTTTTTCCACACTGCTAGCTAAATAAAGAGAATTAGCTTGAACCTCACTGACAAAGTGGGGGAGGGAACTGAATAACTAGCAATTCATTTGGAAGAAGTGGGGAGAAAAAAAATACACACATACACACAAAAGCTGCATTATGATTTTCACGTGTGCCACGCTGCTGAGGCTATTAGGAGGAAATTTACCAGATCATGCTGGAATGTTCTCATTTAAGTTATTGGTGAAAAGAAAGAAAATAGAGAGAGAGAGAGAGACAGAGGGAGGAGTAGAAAGTAATGTTTAAGAGCGGAAGAACATGAACGCACATGAAAGAGGTAGGAAAGAGGAAGACTAAATATGAAAACAGGTTTCTATCAGAAAGGCAGCGCAAGGGAGAGAGAGAGAAAAGATAAAATGCACCAAAAGTGAGAGCACTGCAGCTGTGTAATACATCTATAAATAACTGAAATTACAGCCTGCCAGCACTGCAGTGATTTCAATCTCTCTAGCAGCACGCAGTCCCATGAAAACGGCAGGGACTATTACAGCTAATGAAAAGGTAGAGTAAGCTCCATTTGGGCCGGACACCTTTCCCTCGCTCCCACCCTCTCATTTCCACATGTAGTGAGGTCTCTGGTGACTGACAGGCTCAACTCATAGAGGGCACAAACACACACGCGCACACGCACACACACACACACACACACCATACACTGTACATAAACTACAGAACAGGGCAGCAGAATTCAACTGAGAATGAAAAGTGATGTATGATTGGACAGTGGGGATGGGGAAAATACTGTACATCCAGTAAACCATACTAAGGTCCAGCACAGCAAAGCAAATGAATATAGAGGGAAAGGGGAAAAAAGCAGCAATGAGTTCAAGATGGCGGCAGTGCAGCATGAGCCAGTAGCAGAGGAGGTTGTTCAGTTCCTGCCGGCCCCTCCTCCTCCCCCTTGTCCCTCCTCCCTCCCAGCTCTCAGCACAGCTCACTTACCCTTCCTCTTGGCCTCTTCACTGTAGACATGGTGTTTTTTTTCCCTTCCTCTTTCCTCCCCCTCTCCAACCGGCTAACAAAAGCCTTGCCCTTTCGCTGGGTTTCTTCTCTCTCCGTTGCTCACTCACACTTTCTGTTACAAACACACTCACTCTCTCCTTTTCGTTTGTCTCTCACTCTTCCTTGAGCCGTGTGTCCCCCCCTCCCCTCCCTCACTCCTCGTTTGCCTCCCCTCCTCCTTCCCGGTCAGCTCTTCTCCTCGGGCAGTGCAAGAGCGCCGGATCTGTTCGTCTCCTCCTCCCCCAGCAGGCAGGGCTCAAGAGGAGCGCATGGGAGCTCACTCTCTCTCCTCTCTCTCTCCCACTCGCTCTTTCTCTCTCACCCTCGCCTGTCTCTTCACAGGGTGATGGGGGAGCAGCGCTGTTGGCGGTAGAGGAGGTGCGTGGCAGTCCAGGAAGCTCTCATTCTGCTGCTGTGTGCTGCTTTACTGTCGTCCGGCTTCACCCAAGTCTCCCTCACTCACTCTGTGTGTGTGTGTGTGTGTCAGAGTTGCCTTCCTCTCTCCTCCCCTCTCATTGATTCCTCTTTTTGCCTGCCTTTCGTGAGTGCACTCAGTGCCTCTCTGAGCCTTCACCCTCTTGTTTCTTGTTCTTTCTTGCTCTTCCCGCTTAGCCGTTTCTCTTTTTGTGCCTCTCCTCGTCTTCTTCACCAGCTGGGATAAGGTAGGTTACTCCTTTTATTACACACAAAAGCCTTTTTTGTGTTATCTTGCTCGCTTGTTTGGCTGATTGTTTTTTCCTCCTTTCTCCCCCACTTATCTTTTTCCTTGTTCTCCCTCGCTGCCCTCCCCTCTCCTTGGCTCGGGCGTGTGTGGCGAGCTCGAGACTCTGGCAGGCAGAGCGGCGGAAAATGAAAGCACAAAGCAGCAAAATGCATCAGCATGAATATTAGAGATGTCGTTAAAACCCAGACTCGTTTTTCTCTCCCTCTCTCTCTCTCTCTCTTACTCACTCTCTCTCTCTCTCTTTGTAAGGAAGTAGGCCAGCAGATGGTGCTAGCAGTTATTACATTAACTTTCACAACTTAACCCCCAAAGTACTGGATTTCTCCCACGCCACAGATTGTCAACATCGTAGCTTTTCACTTCCTCATATTGGTTACTGATAGTGATATGTTGATTTATAAATAGAACAGCAGATTCCAAGAGAGACAGAAGAACAAACAGAAAAACAAATTTCCAAAGGCTAAAAATAAATTTCTCATACAAACAGAGTATAACAGATTTCAACTTCCTAATTAAATTGGCACACACAGCCTACACTGTCTCCAGCAGTGAATTCAAACACTTTTACCGGGTCAAAGCCAGGTCACCCTGCTACGAGTCTTGGGGGAGGGGTGACCAAGAGTGGAAGCTGGGATGTGTCCAAGACATGGAGCTCTTCCTGTGAACCACAAACTCTTTGAGCTAGAAGGCCTTTCAGGGAACTCCTGACAGCACAATGTAGGGTCCATGTGCACAGCCTGGCACATGGTATTGGGAATTATTTAGACACAGGCTGGCTTGACGCCAGGTACAATACCCCCCAACGACTGGGTTAGGCCTGAGCTACTGACGGACGCCATCAGCTGTTTTTAGTCTGTGTTTACTGTGCAAAACAATGTAAACCAATATCCTTCCCACACAACACAAAGTCAATTTCAAATGCAGCTGCACACAACACAGTTTGTTGTCTGTCCAGTTCAATTCAAGGAAGGACACACTTTTCATGCCGTTTCTAAAAAAAAAAAGTTATTCTAATGGCCAAATCTAAGACACCAAGAAACTAAAGGACTAAATGGTTGCATTCATGGGATGAATAATTACCACAATTCAAAACACGAACAGCTTTTGAAACACATGCCATCTGACCGGTCAGGGTGACACAAGCTGCATGGCGGTTGTGAAGACATTAGTAAATAAAACGCAGAGTAAGACATTATCCTAGGAAGCAAGGAGTCAGACTTCCAGGCAGGAACACATCCCATATAGTGTTACTTTATATATAACTTATTATATTATTAAATGCCGATCCTCCTCACATGGGTTGTGAGTTTATGGTGTGAAATGTGTGGGGTAGTGTGTTGAGGTTACAATACAATATGGCTTTACACTCCATGTTGTACACATATTCTAACAGCCTTATTCAAAATCTGTATGTGTGTAAATGGGGGTGTTGTTATAGCAGTGGCTTTAGAAATTCTCACACCATCTCCCTCTGGTTTGCTCTTAAAGCTCTATATTGTCTTTTCTACAGAGATCACAGCCATGTGTGCACAGCAATATTCCTTTCTAAGTGTTTGCAGCAGCGTGCCTTGTATCAACCTGCCAAGTCAGGCCTTGGAGTTTGGACTTTAAAGCAGACCACATGCTTGCTGCGAGCAGAGCAACAGCATTTTCTCCAAGCGAAACAAATCTATGGTCAGATAATGTCCACCAGGCTACACTCCCCAAGGATTACTCGACAACACACACTCACACTCACATTGTAATGAGTTCACAGTCACATATTGCATAGTCATATATTCAATCCGCCCTAGACAAACATAAAAATAACTAAAAATACAGTCTCCTCACAGTCTTCATTAAACTGCAACAGTGAAAACATAAAAAAAACTTTGTCATTCATTACTTTAACTGCCACAGGTTTACACAAGTATGCAATTTTGTACATCCCACAATGGTTTATCTTCAGGAAAAAAACATCAAGTATTTGAAGAATAAAATAACCTGGTACAAGCCTCCAGAGAGTCGGAATAATGCCTCATTTAAAACCAGATTCAGTAACTATGTTGCTTTTAATGAAACATTTTTGCTGCATGGTAAATGTTTTTTCTACCCGGACTAGATTTTAAAAAAATGAAGGGGAAAAACAAAACAAAACAAAAAAAAAGTATAGCAGTCAACAACGTACACATGCTTCAACGGTCACATGGCATGAAGCCACAGCTCCTTGGCAACTAGACAGTTAATATGCAAACAAGCCTGGCAGCTCTGTACAAGGGGAGTGGCTTCGTTTTAGGACAGATGAGGGAGGGGAAAGGAAGAGGGGAGGGAAGTAGAGAAGGGGAGGGGAGTAGCAGAGCTGGTAAAAGGAAGCGGGTGGAAAAAAAAAATGTGTGTGCGCATAGAGAAGCAGCGTGGCTGCAGAGGCACAGGTGTCTGTCGCTGAACACTCCATTACTTCCTCATCAAAGGGTCTGTATTAGTGCGCTACTGCTCTCATTTCTTGCCTGAACCACCATGAGAGTCTCCACCAACTCACCATTAAGAAAATGGAGAGCTCAGAGCTAGCAATGCACTGGCTGTAAATGACAAGATGGCTAGCACCCACGAGGCTCTAGAGCCAAAAGCCAGCTGTTACTCTCAAATCCCAAAAATTAATTCCTTATCCAGCTCAAATGCACTGACACCAAGTGTCAGTGACAACACTGTGCGGGATGAAAAAAAAGGCTGCACTGGAATAGACAATGCACACACTTCACATTTTTAAATGTTATTTAAGAATTAAATTTGAACAGGTGATTGATAAAACACTACTTCTTTCATATAATGAGGTTTTCACTGGTGAATAAGTTTACTGCCGTGTTCTCAAGCTAAAAATAAAATACACACAAAATCAAGGACAGCTATTCTGTAGCGGAGACTCAACTGTGTGATTTTGTTTTGTCTTCAGTGACCAATGCTAGATCCAATCTATCCTTGCCATGATTCTGAATTAGACATGCTATGATGAAAATGGATGGTGTCCTGTTTAACCATTTTTCTTTTTAGCCAAAAAAAGAAAGAAAGTTTAAACAGGCCTCAACAATATAATGATTTATGCATTTCTTGGAAAACAAAGCCAGCCTTCAAAATTTAATGAGAATCAATTCACAATATTCTATTATATCTATCTACTATTTTCATTTCATTTTGTAGCACAGAAGTAGATAGTCCACTTAAGTTGCAAGTGAATGAACACATAAAATCACCTGTAGTGAATTTACCAAATAGTTACCTGCCTTCTTGTGCTAAACGTATGGTCCTGTGATTTGTCCATTTGCGCATCTATTTGTTTATGGAGAGCCTAAGAGTTTTCCAACAATGCAAACGTACACTTGTGCAGTCCTCCAAAATCCCAACTGCTGGATATGGATGACATGCATTGCATTTAACAGAACAAGTAAGGGAGTGATAGTGGCATTTAACCGGAATGGAAAAAGCACCCCCCCCCCAATAAAACTCCAAAGTTAAAGAAATAAAAGTATGAAAGTAGAAACCTAGTTGCAGTGGATTCATTTTGTTGCTTTAAAACACTGTTTCATTTCAGCTCGTTGTATGTTTATAACTTCGCTTTTCTCCGTGGCTGGCTGATGGACCAACAATAGCACAAGCAAGAGTAGCCCACAGACCGGTTTTACCACATACTTCTGATGCTGCCCCTATCTAATGATTTCTACAGGTAGATGGGCAGTTTGTAGCTGCCCACAGACATCTAACACACTGCCAATGCACTACAATCACATGTGCACAATGAAACATGACATGGACCTTTTAACTAGGGAGCTCACAGAGTAAAGACCACTTGATGACTGCTTGAGCTGAACCTGTTATTTGTGTTCTTACCTCCACCTCAGTCTGGAAAAATTCTGGATGACCATGACTGTTTAATTTCAGCCAGGTTGTATGTTTTGAAAGGAGATGGGCAGGTTATTCATTCACCTTCCAAACAGGTGTTCTAGTTTAGAATAACAGAAATTGTTTTGCAAATATTTAAACTTAAAAAACAAACAAAAACAAAACATTGATACCAATGAAAGAGGTTTTGGCTTTCTCAAAAAGAAAAAACAAAACAAAAAAACACCAGAACTGCTATTTTTCACAAGGACTTTCTAAGCTGGGTTTAATATACTTAAGATCAAAATGTATTTTTCTTTTTCATATGGTGAAATTTAAGAGGGAAATTGAGAGACCTCACTTGAGTCGCTGCCTGAACTATGTGCCAGTTGTTCTTATATTCTGAGTCACTCCCTAAACATTTAAACCAGGAAGAAGCCAGCTTTGAATATTTTTAATAAACTTTAAATTAGACATAGCGTTTCTGTCTTCTGCAAGTGTGAAATGTGTTAAACTATCAAAATGCTTGTAATGTAGGTGTTTTTAAAAAGGTGATGCTGCAGCTAGAAATAACAATTGGTCACATGGGAGTTGTTCAGGCCACTTTCATCTTACTATTAGTTCAAAACATTTTGTATAATACAGATAATTATAATGCTGCATCCACTGGCTTAACCATTCAATAAACCCAACACACCCAAAAGAAGTGAATGAGCATGAAAACTGTACTAGCCTAAGGAGAAACAACACTGTCAGTACACTATGCATTGTGTGTGCACATGTATGCATCTGTGAAGATAATTATAGATAACGTGCAAGTAAACCAGGATCTCAAAGCCGAAAAGGACGTTTTCTTTCCTCCATCCTTTAACAAACAAACATTCTCCAACAGACTGCATGATCTTTACATCAGGGTTATTTCAGTACAAATACAACACTAAATGTACTGGATACAGTTAACTAACTAATAGGTCCAGCAAATTGAAGGACAGGCTTTATAAATGTAATCATGCTACACTCCTTAGAAGCGCAACAACAGATCCAACAGGCTTTCATAAAGAAAGACCATATATCCTTGTGTTTGTG